ACGGCGCTCTGCGCCTCGCGTGTTTACAAACAGGTTCGGTGAAGAGCGGAGCGTTTGAGGTTTGACTGAGGAAGTGGTGAGGAGCTGGCTCTGGAGGAGAGGCGTAAAGGAAGCCCGGTGAGGAGGGTCTGGCAGGACGGGCGCCACTGCCTGCCTGCCCTTTCCTGCCTTGGTCTTTGGGTGCTGGCACCACTCAGAAAACTAATCCTAGCTTTGTTTCAAGCTGGAGTAAAACTCTAGGAGTGTCTGGTCATTTTAGAAGATGACCCATGGATTTATTGATTTATTTGGGAAGAAAGGGGCCTGGCTGCTTGTCGTGTACTGCTGGTTCCTTCCATGTCCCTACCCGCCTTTCTCTCTCCTGCTGCTGCTTTCCAGGTGTGAGCATCCTTGTTCAGTGTGGAGGAAGGTGAAGGTGGTGGCTGCAAAGGCAGGAGGGGACGTGGATTCCCCAGAAGTCACTTTTGGAAGGCGTGTGTCTGTGTGTGCATGTATGTGTGTGTGGTGGAGAGGAGAGGTGCCTTCCAAGCCCTTGGTGGGCTTTTCTGCAGTGCAGATGGGAGCTGCTTCCCTCCTGGTAGTGTTGCCACCAGATGGGGATGGCCAAGTGCTGGCCCTGTCCCATGGTGGTCCACACACAGAGCACCTTGCTGGCTAGTTGGGATCTTCTCCAGTCCCACTGCCTTGCTTTGGAGCTTCCCACACACCTCTGCCATGGCTGCAGACCTTAAAAAAAATAATTATAAAAATCGAGTAAAATTCATTGCTTCCCATCCCATCTGATTTGGAGAAGGTGGAGCATGGGTGTGGATGGGTCCTGCCTTTGCTGCACACCATGTGTGCATTGCAGGGGAAGGGTGAGTATGGGGACTGGTGGGGGGTCAGATTTTGTGCTGGGGAGGTGGCTGTGCCCCTGCTAGTGCCCTCTGAGCATGGCTTTCTGCCAGCCAGAGTGAGGGTCCTGTCAACCCTCATGGCACAGAGGTGCTTAACAAAGGTGCATCCCCCCACAAAGCCAACTCCACTCCCTCGAGGGTTTTGGGTTCCTGGCCCCTCTGAATGTTGCTAGCCCTTCTTTGCAGCTGACTCTTATCAAGGCTCCTGATCTTGCCTATCCTGAGGCACTCCTGCATCCCCTCCTCCCCACCCAGCACCCCACCTGGAGCAAGGCCAGGAGCATCTCTGACACCTGTGTTCTTTTTCAGAAACAGACTGAACTGAAGCCACCAGCCCCGGAGGACCCGCTCTTACCCTTGAGAAGAAATTAGTGATCTTTGAGAAACCCATGGGCCGGCCTGACCCAAGCCTGAGGAGCAGACGTGGTGATGAAGCACTGCCATCCATGAGACCTTTGGGCACAGCACATGCACAAACTGGGCACTCTGTGCTGAGCTCTTGGTGGTCCAGACAAGGAGATGGCTGGGAGCTGGCAGGGGCTCAGCTCACACCCAGGAAATAGGATGCTCCTGTTTGCTTTCCAGTGACAGACTTTCAGATTTCATATTCATATACCGATGCCTACAGCTGCCTATACAAGCATAACAAATCTCAGACATTGTGTAAACAAGGTCATTGCTTAGATATGGACTATCATGGCATAGTACTTGTTTCTTTTTTCTTTGGTTTTTTTTTCATCTGTCCATTAAGGTGTTTGTTCTCTAAAGGTTGGCATGGCTGCATATATCCTCTCTGCCCTGGCAGTGAATGGCTTTGTGGGCACACAGGTTTGAGTGTTTTAGGAAGGGATTTGAGAAGAAAACTGCCAATCTTGAATTTGAGTGAGATTCTCATCCCTCCAGATGAGGTTAGAGTGAGCATTGCATACTCTCTGATAAGCAGCAGGTTCCCAGACTGAGGCAGCCCAGGAGGAGATGGAGTTTGGTTTCATTTGTCCCTTGCTGGCTAGAACACTTTCCCTGTGCTCCTGGAGCCTGACTGTAACAGGCTGTTAAATCTCCAAGTCTCTCTTTAATATCTGAGAACTAGCACATAATAATTTTTGCATCCTGACCTGGAATCCTTTTCATTGTTTGGAGAGAACAGTCTGTTCTTCAGAGAACAAACGCAGAGAGTCACAGCGTGGCTGTGAGTGGTTCAAGTCATTGTTGTCACCAAGGCAGCGGCTCTGCTGCCACCAGGAAGTTTCCTTCTTGCAGCCCTACGTGGCAGATCCTCCTGCAGCACTGCTGGTGATTTCAAGTGTTTGTTCCAGTAATTTTTGGTTTTCTTTTCTTAATTTTTTTCCCCTTTTTTTTTTCCCCAGGCCATGTGCAATAGTTCTGGAAAAAGAGCAAAATAAATTTCCCAGTTATCCTGCCTGCTGCCTGGTACCTGTACATTTTTAATGTGTGTTGTCTTGTGTGGTTGCTGTGTGATGCAACTGCTTGAACATTTTTGCTTTAAATATTCTTTTCTAATAGAAAACAAAGTCTAGAAGGGAAACTCTTGAGCTGAATAGTCCAGCCAAATGCTGTGTCAGATCATTCTGTCACAAACTAATCAAATCCCAACTCCAAATTGGTTCCATGTTTTGCCTTCACTTTTGCTCTTGGAAGGCTAGTCCAGAAATTGACTGCCTTTGAGTGGTTAGAAACTGTATTTAAATTTCTAGTTGGAATTAATTTGTGGCTGGTACATTCCTGGTTTGTTTTGGAGCCAACATTGTCCCTTAACTTAAATAGTTTTTGGTGTTTATCTGCTGATGTATTTATGGAGAGTAGTCATAGCTCCCTATTTTTTGCCAAGCCAACTCAGCCAAGCTTTTTCAGTAGAAGGTTGTTATTTAGTGAGAGCTTTTTAATGTGGGAGACTTTATTGTTGGTGGTAAATGATATTTATTAGGAGGGTGGGTAGCAAACCCCAAAGGATTGGATCCAGAGATTTACAAAAAAATCTTTTAAAAACAAAAAAGCTCTTTCAGAACCTCTTCCAAAGATGGTGTCTGATTTCTACCTTTAATTGCCCTTGCTTTTGCAATTCTTTCTTCAGCCCCCTCTTCAAAATATCAGAGAGGGTGGCAGAATCTGGGTGGTTCTAGAGCTGAAAGCAGATGTGGGAGTTGTGCAGCCTGAGGATATGGATGTATGTACAGTGTCACCTTCAGAGAACAAATACAGGTAGGTCAATTTACTCTGTAGTGTCTGTGTACATGCAGGTTTATTTAACTACACATATATACAGTTCAAATATGCCATTGATTCTTTATTGCATTATGATGTACATTAAAAATGTACACTTTTACTAACTACTTGCTATATAAATAAGTTGGAAGTGTAGTTTGCCCATTCAAGGTGATTTTCTGTGGGATTTTTGGTGTACACTTAAGGGCCTATGGCTGATTGGAAGAGTGATCCCCACTCCATCTACAGGAATGCTTAAGGACTATGGTATGAACTGGTCCCTTCAAACCATGTTTTGATGCACTAGCTGAAATATTTTGCACTTGGATTGTATTCAGCCAGTTTTCCAGAAAAATTGAAAAGAAGTCTTGTGAGCTAGAGGGAGAATTTCCCGGTGTACACAGAAAAACCAGCCTTGAGGGTTGGAAGCTGCTGAGGTTTTTGAGCTTTGTCTCCATGCATTCATACAAGCACAGCAGGAGTTTTCTTTCTTTTGGGTCGGAGGAATTTTAAAAAGTGGTTCCATGCAGGCTCCCCTCGGACATGGCAACGGGGCTGGCAAACGCCTGTGCGTGGGGAGGGTGAGGTTTAGAGACAAAAAAGAAATCAAAACACGATCGAGTTCCCTCTCTAACTCCTACATTCCTTGTTATCTGCATTGTTTTAGTTGACTTGAAATCTCCATAAAAGTATAAGCTGAAGATTTTTGAGGGTTTAGCTCTGTGGTCTTCTCTCCTGAGGAGGAGAAACAGGTGCCACCTCCAAACAGACTCGGTTTTGGTGCAGGACATTGGAAAAGTGTTTGCATCTGAAACTGAATAGAAAAATTGAGAGGTGGCTTGACAGTCCCAACAGCAGCTCTTGTGGTGTTTAGAGGAAGTGTCACCACAATTCTTCACAGTGTGTGAATATTTATCATCATCTAATCAAAGATGACTATCTTGACTTGAAAGGGGTGTAAGATCGAGGTGATGTAGCCAGTATCAGTAAGGAAGGGAAATGAAATTCTCCACCTCCATCCTCTGTGCCTGAGCTTGGGCTTGGCAGGCACAGCAGAAACCATCAATTTTAATCCATGTGAATCTTGTTACTTATGTCTCTGAGGCTGCTTAGATTAAGGGCACAATCCAATTGCTTAATAACCCGAAACCCTGATTTGTGCTGGCCCTGCCTTGCTCATGGGAAGGGCTGCTGGTTCTCCTGGTGCAAGGAACTGAGTTTCTTTATTCATTGATGTCAGCAGCCCCTGCCATGAGATTGCTAGACATTGTTCCATGTTTCATGTGGGTACCTTATTTTTCAGCTCTGTAATTAGCATCCTTGAAATTTTTTTCTTTTTTTTTTAGCAGAACACTAAACAAACAATGATCTACAGGTTCCTATCTCCACTTGCCTGAGAGCTGAGTGATGCTGCAGCGTGGTGGGAGGATGGGCACAGGTGCTTGCAGGTACTTACTGTGATTTCATGTCCCCTCCCTGAGTTGGTCACCAGGAGAAGCCACCAACAAGAGCAGTAGCTGCTGGCAGAGAAACACTGTAGTCCTTAACCTGCTTGGAGGATGCTCACCAGAGCTGGAAGATACCTGCTGGGTTATTTTTGTTATGTGTCTCCTGATAGCTCAAGGGAAGGAAGCTGTAGTAGGCTGGTTTTTCATTTAGGGTTTGGGTATTTAATTTTTTTTTTAATTGGAAAGCAACAGATTTTGGTCACCTGCAGAAGTGTTATATTGATTTCTCTGCAGCCCCTCTCTTACAGATATAACAGAAGCAAACTGATCACAAGCTTGCTCACTGGGAATCAGAAGAAAAAGATGATTTTTGAGCACTTGGGCACAAATTACAAAGTGAATGGGGTCCTGCACATTCCCATTAGGGTGACAGTATCCAAAATGCTTGTTAAGGTCTTCTCCCTATTGCCCAGATAATTTTGGCTTTGCTCTCTTCAAATCAGTCAAGGTCCTGATGTGATTCAGCTCACCTGTAAAGCTCTGGTGTCACTTCTCAGCTGATCCCAAAACCAGCAGGGTAAGTTTAGGCAACACAACACATGGAGGGGAAGGAGGCACTTGCAGGCTATCCCTGTTCTTCTTTTTATTGAGAAATTTAGTTTCTGCTGTATGTTTTACTGGCAGTGGTGTGTGCCAGGAATGTTGGATTAGCATCAGAAAACTAAAGCAGAGCAAGGGAGCTCAGTTATGTAAGCAGTGAATTTATTTTTTTTTTTAAATTTTGGCTTTTCTTGTTATGGCCCAAGTGCTCTGTTGGCTGACATTTGGCATATTCTGCTGGCACAATTAAAGCCCCTTTTCCCCTGTACTGAGGGAAGGTGGTGTTAGGAGGATTCTTGCTTACTGGTGCTAGTGAAGGTTGGGCTAGGAATCCATGGCATAGAAAATTTCTAGCTAAAATTGCACTTTCTCTCTGCCCCATCTGGCTCGTGGTGGTGTTATGGGTACGTGGCTGTGATTCCCCTTGCACATACTAACATTGCACTAAAAGAGAGACTTTGGGAACAGCGTGTTGATCACTTTGTTTCTCAGCAGACCACAAAGTCAGCCTAACGGGGTCTCTTTTTATTTTTATTTTAATTATTGTTATTTAGAAATCATGCTGGTGCTGAATGACCTGGAATTTTTGCTTGGATTTATCCAAAGGAAAATGTAACTGTAGCTGCAACGGGACCTTTCATAAGGGTGGCCGGTGCAGTGAGGGAGCAGGGTGAGAGCTCTGCTGTGTAAAGCTGTCTTTGTACCAGGGAGCTGTGGGGGGTTCCAGGGGGGGTTGTTACTTTGGATTTTCTTTTGTTTTTTCAAGACCACAATTTTAAATGGTCACCTTGGCAATCGTGTGAAACAGGAAATAGTTTTTACTTTTGGTAAAGGTTTTAAAGAGGAAACAAAAAAAGAAGCTGCCTGTGATTGTGGGCTGTAGCTATTACTAGGGCTAGGGTAGCTTGTACGTGCTATGGACTTTACCTGCTCTTATTCTGAGGGCAAGAACTCCCTGTAGCAACAATGCCACTTCTGAGAAGTGAACGGCAAGTTTCCCTTCCTTTTGTATATGTGGATGTGAGGGTGGGCAAGGGGAAGAGCTTGCTTGTACAGTTTGTTGAAATGAAACCAGACATTTTTGGTTGTTCCTAAATAAAGAGCGTAAAAATCAAAAGTGAGTTGAGTGGTGCTTGCACTGGGATTGGGGAGGGCCCAGCAATGGCTGCTGGGCTGGGAGTCCTCCATCACAACCTCTTCATTTATTTTAAAAGAAAGACAACTTTTCCAGGGGGTAAGGTATGAGTGAGTGCCCAGACACCTCTGTCCTAGAGGTGCTTCTTCATCCCCGAGTTCTGTCCCCAGCCTGCCTCAGAACAGCATGGGCAGCTGGAATACATAACTTTGTTTTTACCGTTTTGAGTGAACAGCATAAAACCTGGGGCTGTTCCTGGTTATTTTTCCTCCCCTAAAGCCAGGAGAAAGGAGGGAGCAATGCAACCTCTCCTCAGGAGCGGCTGCAGGGCACAGAGCACCAGACACCTGAGCCAGCACACACATAATACTGACACTTTTATTGTCATTTAAAGCTAGAGTGGCCCTGTAAATGTCGAGTTTCACTACTGGACCCTTCGGCAGTGGCTATACAGGTTCTGATGTGGTGCACCAGGACAGACAGAGGTGCTGCTGTGCTCACTGCAGGCCCAGAGCTCTGGGCATGGACACAGCACAGGATGGCTGCAAACAGGCTCCAGCAGTTGCACGCGATCTCTGGATTACAGGCAGAGCAGTGACGCAGAGGCTGGATGGGGAATTTTTAGGTCTCTTCTTGTGATTATAGACAGTTTGGTCTGTGGCCTCTGGCAGCCTGGCCGCACCGACGCTTCTTAAGGGCTTCGTGGTGAAGGTTGCTGGGTGCTTGGGGCTGGTTCGGGGTGGGGTTTATTTCCAATTTTTTTTTTTTTTTTTTTTTTAGTTCTCCACTTGAACACACTTCAGCAGAGAAACTGGAAAAGCTGCCTGAAAGTAGGCCATAGCAGTGCCGTTTCCATAGAAACCAGTTCACAGCGTGCTGTGAGATTCACAAGCACTGGAGGTGCTTTCCCCGCCACGGTGGGCTACAGCCGGTTGTCCCCGTTGACCCGGGTCCTCCGCAGTACCCTGCAAAGGGAGAATCACACAGGGGCACAGCTCAGCCTCTCCATGGCATGGCCAAGGACAAGGCTCTGCTGGGCTCAAATTGCCCACTGGACTAAAGTAGGGACTCAGCCACATCTCCCATGATGGGGATAATGGCACCAGATGTGCTGTCCCACCCTTCTCCCATAGCAGGAATTCCCACAAGCACTGGCACAACTTGCGGCTCAAATTTAGGGTTTGCAAGCAGCAAGCAAGGCTGCAGCTCCATTATCCCCCTTTGGGTTAAGGGGATAATGGCACCAGCAGTGGTGTCCCCCCCTTCTCCAATAGCAGAGACTCCCACAAGCACTGGCACAAGCGGCAGCTCCACTTTGGGTTAGGGGGATAATGGCACCAGAGGTGGTGTCCCACCCTTCTCCCATAGCACAAACACTTGCATAACTTGCAGCTCAAATTTAGGGTTTGCAAGCAACCAAAGGCTGCAGCTCCACTTTGGATTAGGGGGATAATGGCACCAGCTGTGGTGTCCCACCCTTCTCCCATAGCACAAACACTTGCATAACTTGCAGCTCAAATTTAGGGTTTGCAAGCAGCAAGCAAGGCTGCAGCTCCACTTTGTGTTAGGGGGAGGCTGCATTGCCTCCACCCCAAATGAAGGGGTGTGTTATGCTGCAGATCAAGAGCTGACTGAGACCCGGCCTCACCTTCGCTCCCGGCTCTCAAAGTGGTCATTGAGCTGCTCTGGGGCCACACGGAAGTCCTCGAAGGGCTGCTGGTACCTCAGCTCAAAGGAGCCCTCTCTGCCTCTGCTTGCCAGCAGCTGGCTGGAGCCATCCCCTGCTCGTTCCCGTAGGGATGAAGCATTGAAGAGGTTTATTTCGCCATTTTCCTGCTTGGATGAGGAAAAAAATGCTGTAGTCAAGGGTTTGTGATTTGAAAGCATATATCCTGTAGTAAGGGCAGTTGTGGTGCAGGGCCCTGGCTGCCCTGCAGGCTGTCCAGGGCTCATGGAGGCTTGGGGTTTGCAATGTGCAGCTGCTCTAACAGCCATCGCTGGCTCTCACCAGCACCATTTTAAATGAAGAAATAAAAGAACCATCTGTCTCAGAAGGAGCCCTGCCCTCTGTTTATGCCAACAGGGACAGCCCCAGGCCAGCCAGCTCTGTGATCCTGAGCTGCAATGTCCCTGGAGCACAGACAGGCACTGTGACAAACCCTCCTTCTCCAGCTTTTGCTGAAGGGATTTCCACACAAATCAAACCCAGCGCAGGCAGGACCCTGCCTGAAACACCCTGAGACTGCTGCAGGAGGCAAAGCCAGTGCTTGCTGTCCTGCTGGGCATTCCTAAGGAGCAGCACTGGGAATTCAGCCATCCACAGGCACTCAGGCCACTCACTGAGCCTCACTGCCCCAGGCTGGGCTCACTGGCTCTGCTCCTCAGCCCTACAGCATGGTCACCACCTTCTCGTGGGTGCAGCCAGTCTCACCTTGCAAGGGAAAATGTCTATCTTGACAAGCAGAGAAGCCAGCTCCAGGTTCTCACTGTAGTTGTTCTTGAGGGGAACAGCTCGGAAACCTACGGCAGAGACAGCCCTGGTGTCACTCCCTGCACAGGAGGGGAGGTGGCAGTGCCCTGGCACAGAACTCAAGGGGGTTTTTCTCCCACAAGACCCTTTTTCTATTCTGCCCACAGAAGCTGTGGATGCCCCATCCCTGGAAGTGTCCAAGGTCAGGCTGGATGGGGCTCAGAGCAGCCTGGGGTAGTGGAAGGTGTCCCTGCCCATGGCAGTGGGGCTGAAACTAGATGGCCTTTAGGGACCCTTCTAATCCAAACCAATTCCAATCCATTCAGTCTATGATTCTGTGATTCTCCAGACCCCCAAATTTCCCTCCAAGTGGCAGGTGGGCCCAAGGGCTGTTAGCAAATGGTTCTGCCTTGCTTTAACTGGTTGGGGAGGGGACAGGCTAAGCCAGCCTGGTGCTCAACAACACCCTCCCATGAAACTCAGCATCCCCTTGGCTAACAGTGTGAACTGGTGAGGAGCACCATGACCCCCGTCCCTGCTGTCCCAAGTGCCTCACCTGTCTTCAAGCCTTTCACCAGGAAGGTGGCCTGAGCCAGGAAGTTCTCGTCACTGAACATGTCCTCCTCGTACACCACGAAGCGCAGGAAGGCAAAGTCAGGGTTGCTGACCTGAAAGTGGAACTGCTTCGGGGTCCAGAGAGGGTTCAGGCCATTGTCAGCTGCTCACAAAACACAGCTGTCAGTGGGCAGCCCCACTGAGCCCCTCCACTGCCCCCACGGCTGATGCTGGGCTTGGGGGCAGCACAAGGGCAGCTCCCAGCTCGGTGCCAGGCTTTGCTGCAGAGCCCAGGGCTCACACCTGGGTCAGGGGTGCTCTGATCCTGGTGTGAGCCATGGATCATCCCCCTCCCTTCCCCACCCACTCACCCACAATCTCTGTTTTCTGCTTGGCATTGTCGTACTCAGCACCAGACACCTCCACCTCCACAAAAGGACAAACAATTCCCCTCCCGTTTTTGGGAAGATGCCTGGCCCCCAGGACCTGAGCAGAGAGAAGAGAGACTTGGTAAGAGACAGGAACAAAGGGGAAAAAATGTGTTTGCATACCAGGACATTTTCTTCCCAAATAAATCACCCTGGCTCTGCTAATTGGACAGAGAAGCAGCACTGACAGCCAGCCCAGCCGGCAGCTCAGAGAGAAATAGCTCCCACCCCTGGAAGCTGCTGTAGTGTTCTTGATCCACAGTTTGACTTGTGAGCCACAAAAAAAACCAGCTGAACTGCTCCAGGTTCTGCCTGCTGCCAGCACAGCCAGGCTGGGGCCACAGCATCCCTCCCTCAGCTGGCCAAGCTGGAGCTGGGCTCCCACCAAGCACTGTTCCCTGCTGGAAGCACCACCCTGGACCCCTCATCTTTGCTGAAACTCCTCAGCCCTGTTGCCTTGGTGTGAGGAGGAGAAGGAGCTGCTCTCCAGCCTGCTCTGCCTCGTGCCTGCAGCACAGGCTGTGCTCCACTCATGCCAAGCTGCCTCCTTGCAGGAGACAGCCACGGCAGCTCCCCCTTGCCCGTGGCCATATGTCGCTCCAGCACGCTGCTGCTGCAGGGGAAGGACCTGCTGCCAGCTCTGGATCATGTGCTTTGAGTCATGCTGGGCTCGAGATGGCTTCTCCATCCATGAAAGCTGCCTTTGGTGGGGACAGCAGGCAGCTCTGCCAGACAACAAGAGGCTGAGCCTGTCTCTTAAAGGCGACAGTGACTGGCTCTGGCACAATGATTCTTCACACTTGGTGAGGGCAGCTGCACTTCCTGAGGTGCAGGAAGAGATTGGAAAACAGAATGGGGCAGGGATGTTGTCATCTTATTGCACGGGTTCCATTCTGTTGTCTCCTTATCACAAAAGTTTCATACCTTCCTGGTGTTCCTCATGGGCAGCTCCTCAGAGCACTGACTCTTTCTTCTTCACAAAGCAGCCACTGACCCAAATTCCCTTCTCACCCAGCCACCCCACTCTTTTATAGCACTCTTCTTCTCATTGGTCACAGCTGCGGCCTGTTAAAGCCAGGCCTGTTCCTAATCTTTGACAATTGGCCCAGCTGCAACTCCTTTGGGGTAAGATTACTTTCTACGCTATCTTTATTTTCTTATATTCTTTCCCCCTACAGAGGGAATTTTTAGGGAGGCAGTGGGCATGGGGTCAGTGGTGCAGAAGGTACATGATAGGGTGTCCCCATGGAGAAGGGCTGTGGCTTTTTAGGTGGGATCACTCCAAAGCAGAGGTGGCTGCAGAGGAAACCTGTGAGGACCCGAAGAGAGGATCTCCACTGCATCCTCCCCAAGGTCTACATGAGCTGGAGGGACTGGCAAAGCAGACTGCTGACCCATAGCTTGGTTCTGAGACCACAGGGAATGCCTGTACAGGCTGCTGGACCCTGCTGGTCCAAACACAAGAGCCTGCTGGTTTGGCACAGCCCTCCAAAGCTTTGCCTGGTGAGCCCTCCCATGTCCCTGCAGAG